CTGCCCGCCTCACCTGTAGTGGGCGGGGTCGGGCGCGGTGCCATCCGGGCCCGGCGCGCCCTGGTGCGGTGGCAGCAGCAAGCACAGGAGGCCGAGCGGGAGCAGCAGCCGGAAAGGCATAGAGCTCGTGTCCAGTCAGCGCCGCGGCGGCTGCAGCCACCGCCAGCTGCTCATCGCGGGAGCCGCCGGCGCTCTTCCGGGAACCCGCGTCACTGCGCCTGCGTGCTGATGAAGCCGTCGCTTACTTCCGAACTACAAGCCCCAGAATGCAACTGGTGGCGGGACCCAGGCAAAGAGCATCTTGGGATATATACTCTAGATCGGAGGTCGACGTGTCTTAAAGACAGTGGCTCTCACAGCTACTGTAATTAATTAATGGTTTAGTAACAGCATTTATTGAGCACTTGTGGTGTACTAAGACTGTATGGGACGCTGAAGCACATTATCGTTTTTTAAAGTGGCCTTATCAAGCATGAAGGCAGGGACCAGCAGGGACTCAACATTTGTTGAGTTTGAGAGGGTGTATTTATATATAAAGATGGATAAAGAATGTTCAGCCTTTACTATTAGGCTACTGAGTTTCGCAGACCGGTTCCCTGCTGATTGCGTAAGGCACAGCTTGCATTTATTTGTCCAAAGCTGCCTCTCGAGATTTCCAGAAATCTGTCAGTTCTAGAAATTCATGAATTCTTGACATTCCTCTCCTCCCACTTGGATTGTTGTTTTTTAATCGTCATCTGGGGGTGTTGATTGGTTTGAGAGTGAGAAAGAGAGAAAGACAGAGACAGACATGGATGTGAGAGAGAAATATCCATGGGTTGCCTCCAGTACCCACCCCAACCGGGGATCAAACTCACAACCTAGGCATGTGCCCTGACGGACAATGGAACCTGCAACCTTTTGGTGTACTCCAACCAACTGAGCCAGCTGGCTAGGGCTCTCTCTCCTCCCATTTGGGTTGTGGTTACATTCTAATGGTATCCTCAGTCTCCATCCCAGTGCAGAAGCTTCCCCATCCCAATCCCCTGGACCATGTCATTGGCTGCAGCCCTGTAGAGTATCCCAGGTGAGAATGAAGACCCTGGGGCACTATAGCTTTGAGAAGGTTTGGAACACATTTTTCCATTTTCCTTCTTACAAGTTCCCATAGTTTGGTCAGCGTTTTAGATCATAGCAACACTCATGACTTTGGGCACTGTGATGTGCAATAAAATCATCCCTGGATTTGAAGTGAGACTTGGAATTCAATTCCAACTTCAAGTCCATGTAAAGCCTCTAAATGTGACCCTGGAAACTGCCTCTCATTCTCAGCTTCCTTGTCTATAAAATGAGAGGTTTGAATAAAGACCTCTGAGATCCTTGAACTCCAGCTTTCCATGATTCTAGTGTAGTAGGCAGGCATGAGCAGAGTAGGAGCTGATAGGCCAGGTGCAGAGGGTCACCAGAGCACCTGCAGAGAGCCTCAGGGGCCTAGCAACAGGCAAAACTACAGCCTTTGCAGACCACTCCCTTAAACATTAACCCCTGGAAATGACTTCTAGATTTCAGTTGTCTTTTGGCTCCAGGCCCTGAGGAGCAGCGAAACCAGACAGAGCAGCAACACTATGGCTGACATCAAGACCAGCTGCAATGACTAGTGACCCCCTGGGGCCAACCAATTAGTGGAGACCTCAGCCCTGAGGAGACAGCAGGAAAGTGATGAATATTTTATTGAGATCTTCCCTTGAGACTTCCAGATAAAAGCCCTCAGGATTGAGGACCCTCCTGCAGCTCTCTCTATGGAGCATGCCCACGCCTTTCCCCACCCTCTTCTTTCCCCAGGGTGTGCTCTCTCCCCCATAACTCCTTTCCTGAGCCCACTTCTTCTACAGCTCACTTCTACTTCTGTGACTTTATAAATAAACTTTCTCTTACAGTTTGAGTCTTGACTCTGAATTCTTTCTTAGCCAGAACTCAAGTACTGAGAGTGCTGAACCAAAGTCCGGTCTGACTCTACCAGTCTAACACCTGGTGCTGTTTTTCCACCGCCACCACTAGGATTGGCCATCCTCCTCTCTCTGGTGAAAAAATCAGATGGAAGTGTTAGGGGTAGAAATATTAATCATGCTCTGTTAACCATGATTGTTCTGTTCTGATTAGAGAGAGCACATTCTAACCTGACTGAGACTTGTATTCCTCAGGACATGAGAGTTAACCTTAGAATGATCATCATGGAAAGATTAGCAATCTTGTTCCTGAAACAGGAGGCACTTGCCCTTTGCAACCTACCCGCCAGCCCCACCTGCCCACATCCCCTCCACCCTTTTGCAAACCCGCATTGAACCACTATACCCATTCTTACTTGTGCTGCCTACTTCCCCGTGCATGCAGTTCCTTTTGCCTGCCTCATATAATCTTTGTCCTACCCAATATAAGTGGCTTATGGAGGGGGGAGGGAGAGTTAAAGCAGATTTTATGTGGATGACCCTCCTGCTCTCCCCATACTGATGGCATATATGAATAAACATTCATATATGATTCAAACTTGTCTCTGCTTAGTTGGCTGAACTAGTGACAGGCAGCCTGGACCCATTGTGTCAGGTTTTAGAAGTGGCAGCTCAGTTCCTTGAACTGGAATGCAGACAAATATGGTCTCCTTTGCTCAAGCATTCTTGAAAATATCCCTCAAATAAATATCCTGAAATGCCATCCATTGATATGAGAATTAAAGCCTTGACTTAACCCAGAGAGCTTGAAGTAGAACAGTATAGAGGTTAAAAGTGTGGGCTTTGGATTCGAGCAGACCTGAGTCGGAATACTAGCTCCATTGCCTATTAAGAGTATAGCCCCACCAGTTTTTCTTCTGAGCCTCATTTTACTCATCTGTAAAGTAGGAATAATACTATTACCTACCTAATGGTATTATGAGGATTCAGTTAGCTATTGCATGTAAAGTGTTTGTCATAGTGCCTGGCAGAAGAGACACTCGAAAAGTAGGATGTTTTTGGAAACTTCTTGAAGGTGCCAGATGGATGGGAAACTGATAACAACACAGGGGCACTGCATTAGTTTCCTGTGCTACTGTAACAAATTACCACAAACTTGGTGGCTTAAAACAACAGAAATTTATTCTCTCAGTTTTGGAGGCCTGAAGTCTAAAATCGGTTTCCCTGGGCCAAATTCGAGATGTTGGCAGCGCCACACTCCCTCTGGAGGCTCATGGGGAGAATGTGCTCCCTGCCTCTCCAGCTTCTGGAGAAGAGAATGGCGCTGGCATTCCTCGGCCTGTGGCTGTATCACTCCAGTCTCTACCTCCATCGTCACATCACCTCCTCCTCCATGGGTGGGTGTCACATCTCCCTCTGCCCCTCTCTTATAAGGACACTTGTGATTGCATTTAGGTACCACCTGGATAATACAGGGTGATCTCCCCTCTCAGGATCCTTAACTTAATCACATCTGGAAAGACCCCTTTTCCAAATAGGGTAACATTCACAGATTCTAGGGATTAGGACCTAGTTGTCTTCAGGGGGCCATTTTTCAGCCTATCACAGGTTTCAGGTCTGGGCCTTTCCCTGCTGTGAAACTCACCCAGGCCTAATGGACTCTGTGCTGAGGGAAACAAGCCTTGGACTAGTGCTCAGAAGCCCTGGGTTCTATTATTGGCTTAGCCATGTCTCTGTGTGATTTTAGGGAAGTCACTTTCCTTTTGGGGGTTCAGTTTCCATATCTGGAAAATGAGAGCCTGAGACTATCTTTCAGCACAAGGAAAATATTAATAGGTTCATACAGAGTTATTGCAAAAAAAAAAAAAAAATCAGAAGACAGAATTCAGCACACATTCACTGCAGAAATCTCCCCCTAGAAACAATCATGGAACAGAACAACATAGCCGGACAACACTCCAAATGAAATTTGACTGTCAAATGAATCATAATATTAGTAACGCTAATAAGAAAATGACCAAAATGTATCAATAATAGCAAGCATTTGTATACCATTTACTATGTTCCAGGCACTGTTCTTAGTACTTCACATGCATCGACGCCATTAATCCTTTCCAAAACCCTCTGAGACAGTACTATTATTTTCACCATTTTACAGATTTAAAAAATTGAAGCACAGATTTTAAAAACTGAAGGGAGTTTTAGTAACAACCAGCATCTAACACTAAATAAGTGGTAGAGCCAAGATTTGGAGCCAGACAATCTATAATCTACTGCATTAACAAAATTAATGATAAGTATGAAGAAAAGTCAAATACAGAATTAAAAAGTGAAAACCTGTCTTCTGCAGTGTCCTCTAGCTTTAGCTTCTTGTGATTCTATATTCAACATGCCCTTCCTTTTCGCTGGAAAGTCATAGCAAAAAGTTGAATTCACTGAAGCTGGAAGTCAAGGCACCTTAGTTCCTCTTTGACTTTCAGCAGGGAAGTATCTGGGAATTCCTTTCCTAGCATCTGGGGGTCATGTGCTTCAAGTGAATTGTCCCAACTCCCAGAGCAGAGTTTGCATGCCACATACGTTGGGACTGCCAAGAAATAACTAGTTTATCCCTAGGAAACTTTCTGTTGCTTTGTAGAAATGCTTGAATTTCCCCTGACCACAGCATATGCAAACACTTAGAGCACTGACTCCTTGGTTAGAGCCCCAGAACATGTATTATGATGCTCATGTTCCCAGTGAACTCGGGCCTGTGGCTACATCTGCCTACAGAAACCTAGCCATCCTGGGTGTATTCCAGCAAAAGTACAGAATCAAGAATGGACCACACATGGTCTCATAGTCTGGTCAGTTCCAGGCCCTGAGCCAAATTATAATCTTTGATTTCTCAAGCCCTGAAAATGGTGACGATCCCTCATGAGCAATTCAAAACAAAAGCCTCTCCCTTATAAGAAATGGATGCAACAGCCAAAGCGGGAGCAATGCAGGTGTCCAATGGATAAACAAAATATGACATAAATAGAATAGAATATTACTCAGCCTTGAAAAGGAAGAAAATCCTGACACATGCTACCACATGGATGAACTTTGAGGACATTATGCTAATAAAATAAGGCAGTCACAAAAGAACAAATATTATATGATACCACTTATATGAGGTACCCAGAGTAGTCAAATTAATAAAGATAGAAAGTAGAAGGCTAGTTGCCAGGGGCTATGGATATGGGGAATGGGTTATTGTTTAGTAGGTACAGAGTTTCAGTTTTACAAGATGAAAAGAGTTCTGAAGATGGATGGTGGTCATGGTTGCACAACAAAGTAACTGTATTTTACATCACTGAACTGCTTAAAATGGTTAAAATTGTCAATTGTACATTATATGTATTTTACCACATTTAAAAAAAAAATGAAATGGAAAAAATAAATGGATAATTGTCCAACAAATTTCTGATTTTTTTCACTGCTTTTTTGGGGAAATATCCAGTTCTTCCAAATAAAATATATTTTTATCATGGGGAGAGGGTGCCTGCTTTGCTGATATGCAAAGCAGATAGTTTCTCTGCCTATTTGATGATACAGAATTAGCCTGGCACCACCCCAGGCTGAGGGAGGGCAGGGCTTAGGTGTCCTACAGGGTTCCCCCTCAGCCTTCTTGCCTTGTAGGCCCCAAAATCTGCTGCTAGAGAGAAGGAGAAAGCCTAATAGAATGAAAATCCTTTCATCAGTCATTTATTGAGAGCCTTATAATAATAATATTTAGTATCAATTAAATTAAACTTACTAGTGTTAAGAAAAACTATCCAAAACATGTTACTAAGTAAAAGGATGATTGTGTGACCTTTCAATGTCATAATAAAGCATTGAGTAAGAGTCATCTGCCTCTGA